ATAAGAACCCACTTATCATATGTGATAAATATACATATTTCTCTGAAACTAAGTTAAAAAAAAATTGGGTTATATCCAGTTTCTCCTGATGGCAGTGTTTATAAATCTCAGGCCCAGATTTATAGAATGAAGAATAAACATTGCAAACATTAAGGTTCCAAATGGAAATGAGTCACAATAAACGCTGTGTTGATCCTCATTCTTTTCTACTCATTAAAGTCAATTGCATCTAAAGAAAGAAATTACTTTTTCATAATGCCTATGGGCATATCTGAACACTCTGATCTTTTATACAGATTTAATTAAGGTAAATTTGAAAAATGAAGAGAATGGGTAGAAGGAAGGAGAGTGTGAGGTTGTGATTTATACTCAGAAGTATGTATTTAGTCTTTGTCCCCTTTTCTGGCACAGAGCTCCTAAAACTCTTGGAATTTACTAAGTGATAAGAGCCATTAGGTGTCTTGTTATGTTAATGAGACAACATTTGGACCCCACCCAAGGATGGGGGCTGGTTGCCAGAGGAACCAACCTTGGATTAGAGAGTTGGAACTTTGAGTTCCACCCAGACCTCCAAGGAAGGGAGTGAGGGGCAGGAGGTTGAACCAGTTGCCCATGGCCAATGATTTAATCAATCAACATGCCTAGGTAATGGAGCCTCCATAAAAATCCCAGTAGGACAAGGTTCCCAGAGATTCTGGGTTGGTGAACAACATATGGAGACTGGGGAGCATAATGGAGAGGGCATAGAAGTTCCATGCCCTTTCCCACCCCTTGCCCTAGGCATTTCTTCCATCTGGCTCTTACTGAGTTATATCCTTACAATAAACTGCTAGTCTCCTAAGTAAATTATTTCCCTGAGTTCTTTGTGTTCTTTAGCATATTACTCAAACCCAAGGAGTGGGTCATGGGAACCTCTGATTTATAGCCAGTATGTTAGAAGCATAGGGAACAACCTATTCTTGTGGTTGGTATCTGAAGTGGGTGGGAGGTACATTCTTCTAGGACTGAACTCTTATTTATGGAATCTGATGCTGTCTCCTGAGTTGTGGGATAGTGTCCTGCTAGTGTCCTGAGAATTGCTTGTTGGTGTAGTGTACCCCCATACACAACTGGGATTTGGTCTCGGATTACCAATTTAGAGGGAGAGAGAGAGAGACAGAGAAAGAGACAGAGAAACAGAAAGACCTAACTTCAGAGTCTTGCCCATCCTTCTTCTTATGTTCCCTGGTGGAATGGGGATACCCCTGGGCCTTGAGGCCTCTGCCCAGCCTGTCTCAGGACTTTGCGAGGGTGAGAGTCGGGGGAGGTCTTAGTCTTACAGCAAGAAAAGAATTCAAGGACTGACCAGACACAGTGGTTGCATGGTGTAAGTGAAGAGTTTATGAAAGAGAGAGCACATTCTAGAGTTGTAAGAGTGGCAAGCTCAAAGGACAGCTGTATAATTCGGGGTTTTGGTTTCTGTCTTTTACTGACAGTTGTTAACAAGGGGGTGGCATATTTATTTCTTTGGGAGGGGATTACTTGGGAGCAGGGCTTAGTGCCTTTTCTCCCTTACTTTGGTCAGGGTCTCTGGCGTTCTTTTCTTGGGCCTGTCTGGTTTGATCTAGCTTCTTGTGGAGTGCTGCCAGGACAGGCCTCTGACTTTTCCAATAGCTGGCCATGATTTCTCCTTTGCTGGCCTCGAGGTATCCTCTTAAAGCTTAACTAACTACTCCGGAACTGACCCCAGACAGCATAGATAGGCTCTAAGTAATGCTTAAAATCCAGGAGAAGTTGACTTGCTCTGGTTCAGTTCTGCCTGGCCTCTCCTAGTCAGTGTGTGTTCCCTGAGAAGAGAGGCACTGTGATGACTCTGCCCATCTCACAAGTGGGAAATCCAATCTCTCACTCAAAGTATACCCTTGATAGTTTTTGGAAATGAGTACACGCATGCTGGGGTTAGTTACAGATTTGATGTCCTGGACCCACTGCCCACTGATTCTTCAGGTTGTAATGAAGGCAATCATCTGTTTTCACTGATTCAGAATACTTAAGGATACTTCTAATCATGACATAGCTGCACGGCTTAGGGAATTAGTTTTCCTATTGGAGCTGGGATTGTAGGTATCCAGTGTGCATCTTTTGCTCATTTCTTACTAACTACATTCTCTGATTGCCAGTCTCTCTTGTTCTCAATGCTATTCCCATCCTCTTAGAGAATGTTTGGAGCAACATAATTCCTCAATAGATATTTCTTGAATAGAAATTTAAAATGTTGCAAATATTTTACATTTGTTATTAAAAAGAAGCGAATGAGGGACAAATTGTTATTTATATATCAAATTTATCTTCTTTGACAAACAACATCCTTCAGAGTTTCCATGGGAAAACTGAAATGAGGCCTTAGGACTGAAAGTGTGGTATCCCATTTGGGAGGAATGAGGCCAAAATGGACCTGCACGTGCCATCTTGTGGTCAGCATTGGAATTGTTGTGATGATGGTACCAGGCACATGTAGACATTTAATCATTCATTCCTGTAAGTAGTTTTTTGTAGGTGAGCATGGTCTGGGGATAGAATAGTGAACACCTGTGCTATACTTTCATGGGAGTTATATTCCAGTCAGAGGAACAGATGGTGAATAAGTAATTTAAATAAATTACACATTGTGTTAAGAGAGGGAGGAAATAAAATGTTTGTGTTGAGAGAAAATTACAGGGGGCAAGAACCAGTTGAGAACATAGGTTAAGAAACCACTCACTGATAAGGAGGGTATTAGTTGAGACCTAAAGGATGTCGAGAGGAGCATAGAATGTTCTAGAAAATAACAACTGGGGGAAGTGGGAAGACTTAGAGCAAAGCTCTAGACAGATAAGAAGTGGATATGTTTGGAAAAAGGCTAGAAGGGCTGAGGCAAAGGAAAAAGGTAACAATTAGTATGGTAACAATACCTCAATGAGTATGTTGAAAAAATAGAATATACTACTCAGCAATAACAGGAAATGACCTACTTATCTTACATGCAACAGTATGGTTCAATCTGAAAAACTTTATACTGAGTGAAAGACACCAGACTCAAATTAATGTATTATTTATTCCTTCATTTATGAAAGTGCTAGTGAGAGAAAAATTAATCTATAGTGAAAGACATCAGATCAGGGTTTGCCTGGTCGGGGTGGAGAGGGGGTGGTTGACTCCAGAGAGGCAAGAGAAACTTTTATGAAGTGAGGGCAATGTTCTATGTCTTAATCAGGCTGGTAGCTACAGAGGCAGGTATATGTCAGAACTCTTCAAAGTGTATGTGAAAATATTTACATTTTATTGTCACAACTTATACAGCAACAAAGCTGATTTTAAAAAGTAAAAGAGGGACTCGCAATCATTAACTAATTTGCTGATAGTAGGAACACGGTCGATCCCTTTACATGGCTAGTATTTGGGAATCATGAAAATACTCCTTCAGAATACCCATTCATTTCTGGGGACACTTTTAGGATCCTCTAGCTATTTCTCCTGGGAGAAGCAAACATGTTTCCGATTCCTCTTCAAACACCTTCATCTGATGTTGGTTTGAATAACATAAGAGCCTGTGTTCTAGAACCTTCTTCACTATTGGCTTTGACAGGAGAGTGGTGAAGGAGAATAAATATACAAATGCAGTAATTGTGATGGTTGATTTTTACCTTATTTGTGGTGATGCTATCATGTGTGTATGCGTATGTCCAAACTCATTAAAATGAATACATTAAATATAAGCACCTTTTTGTGTAAGTACACCATAATGAAGTTGAAAAAATCAGAAAAAATATGGTTTTCTAAAACAGGTTAACATTTTAATGGAAAAGGAAATTAAATATTAACAAATACTCAAACTTCTATTGACTTTCTCACTACCTTTAACCATACAATATAGCTATCTTCAGAAGAGAATGTCCTTTTCAATTTTTTTCCAAAACTTCTTCACTGTGCAATCCATTGTCATCAGGGAATAGGCAATTTCTGGAAGGAGACACCAACACTCAGCATACAAAATGCTCACTGTTACCAGTCTCAAAAAGTTGTGATTCTGGCAGCAATTTTCATGCAGATTTTTAAGCTTTTCTGGGACTTGCTGTATTCTGGAGTCCTTCATCTTCTTGGATTACCCACTCCATTTCCCTAGGCTTTGGCACTGAATTAACCTGTTCCGTACACTTTTGTTATTGTTTGAATTACTTTTTCTCATACTAAAATTACGTCCTCAATCAAGGATAATTTTTAAAAATACATGAAAGTGCAAAAAGTAAATTAAAATATCACAAATCTCACTACTCTGAGTTGCTATTATTAGCAGTTAGATGTATTCCCAGAATCTTTTTCTATGCATATGTATTTCTTTTTAGAATTGGTTTCAGCCTTATGGGTAAGTGTTATTTTTCTTTTTTCTTTAATATTATATCTTGATCATTTTTCACATCTTTACATGCTCTTTACAAATACATTACTTAAATGCTACATGATATTCAATTGCTCATTCTTCATATAGATCAGTATATGTATTTTCCTGTTTTTGGTTTTATAAATAATGAATCTATACATGTCTTTGTACTTTTTTTTCCCCTCAAATTCTATTTTTATAAAGAGATTCCAAGAAGGGAAAAATACATGTACTTTTTAACTGTTTTGGTGGAAAGTTCTAATCTCCTTTTTAACAAGGTATAGCAACTTAGATTTCTCCTGGCAGGGTAAAAATCATTTTCACCTTAGTGGTCTGTTGGAAAATGGCATTCTGTTCAAATCTTCACTAATTTGATAGATGGACATATTTTTTACTGTTCTCTTGTGATGAAGATTGGTCAACTCGGTATTTATGATCAATCACATCGTTCAGAGAGCTTTTGTTCTGGGCATTTTCAAAATTGTTCTTTTGTTCTGGAGTGTTGCTAACCTCTGGGCCCTTTGTTCACAGATGACTTTGTTCTGATATGTGCATCCCAGATCAGTGGGGTGATGGGGTTGGTTGTGATGCCGTGACCCTTGGCTTAGGGATCTTTTCCACAACATCCTGGAATAACCCTGTCCCTGATCTGCTTGGTCCTAACTCCATAGACGATGGGATTGAGCATGGGAGGTACCAGAAGATAGAGATTAGCGAACATGATATGTACCACCCGGGGTACATGATGTCCAAAGTGGTGGGTGAGGAAAGTAAAGAGGGCTGGGATATAAAAAGCCAAGATGACACGGATATGGGAAGCACATGTGCCAAAAGCCTTGAGCTGGGCTTCATCAGAGGGCAACCTCAGAACAGTTCTCAAAATCACCACATAGGATATACTGATGACAATCATGTCAGAGCCAACCACAGAGAAGACCGCAAAGAGTCCATATGCATAATTGACTCTAGTGTCTGCACACACCAGTTTTAGCACAGCCATGTGCTCACAGTACGACTGTGGAATGATGTGGTTGGGGCAGAAGGGCATCCTGGAGACCATGAAGCAGAAGGGACTCACCCACAGCAACCCTCTCATCATCACAGCTGCCCCCGGTTTACCCACCACAGCTGGGGTCAGGATAGTAGAGTGGTGGAGTGGGAAGCAGATAGCCACATAACGGTCCAAGGCCATAGCCATGAGCAACCCAGACTCCACAGAAGAAAAGGCATGGATGAAGAACACCTGGATGAGGCAGGCATGGTATTCAATTTCATGAGCATGAAACCAGAGTATAGCCAGGATTTTAGGTTGGGTGGAAGAAGAAAGGGCCAGGTCAGTGATAGCTAGCATGGCTAGAAAGGGGGACATGGGCTCATGCAGAGTGTGGTCAGTTCGAACTAGATGAAGGGCAATGATATTGCCAACTATAGCCACAAGATACATAGCACAGAGAGGAAGGGCAATCCAAAATTGGTAATTCTCAAGTCCTGGGATCCCAAGTAGGATGAAGAACACAGGATGCAAAGAGCTGTTCCCTGAGGCCAGCATCACTGGATGGTTAATTTGTTCTCCATTGTGAAGGTAATTTACTCTCTGTAGGTGATAATAATCAAATAAGTAATTATTATTATTTTTAGTATTTTTATAGGTTCAACTGAATAATAGGGTAATTGGGCTTAATGGTAAACTGGAAGAATTTCAAATGTTTTAATGAAAAATTTTTGCAACATAAAGTGATGCTACTCTTCATTCCTCCTTCATATTTCTGTCATTCAAAATGGGATCAAAACATACTAGCTGCAAGTGTGATTTTTGTCGAAGAATCAATATTTTCCTTGAAAGTAGAATCTGCTAAGGGAAAACTATCCTGACAAATAATGTCAGTAATAGTCATTCTTGCCCTTCTATTCTTCAGAACTAACTGACGTGTTTAACCTTTCCCACCGGTTCTTTTGAAGCTTCTGTTTAAGCCACTTAGGCAACTTTTCAGGGTAGAAGCCAGGTTGGAAAACACTTTGGCTTAAAAGTTCATAGCAAGTATGTAGTGATGTTGAGTTAGCTTTTACTCTAGGAGTTACCAGGAGAATTTGGGCTGGAGGATAACTGACTGACGATTGTACACCTGTAATTAAACCTATTATCTGTAGTGTGTGTCCTCCTAGATTAGAGGCCAGCAAACATTTTTCTTAAAAGGTCAGATCATACATATTTTAGGCTTTGTGTGCTATACAGTCTCTGTTGCAACTAGTCAGTTTAGCCACTGTAGCATGAGGGCAGCCAGTCAGTACAGAAATGTGTGAGTGTGGCTACATTCCAGTACAATTTTATTTATAAAAACAGCTTGCAAGCTAGATTTGGCCTGCAGGTTATAGTTTCCTAATTCCTGTCCTGATGATAAATTTTCATGAGGTGAGCCCTGCACGGTGCACCATCCTAGCACTGTTTATGCTTGGCACAGAATAGGGGTTTAATAAACATTTGCTGGAGCAAATAACAAAGAAATGTCATTGTTCAGTGGCAATGGACTTTTTAACTGATTAGCCATATCTTAAAATCCTTGGAGAAACCTTTTAAACACTACTTTTTCACCATGGCTACAAGAAAGTTATACATAATTCTCATACTAGAGTCTGCTCTGCTGGCCAGTGAAAGATGTGAATGCCCTCCTCTGCCTATACTTGTTTACATGGTTGATCTTGTCTGATCCCTCTGGTGCCTAACACCTACCTAGGAGTCCATGACACAAAAGCTTACCTGGTTCTTACTTTTCACTATTTCATCTCAGTTGACCTGAGCCTTTGAATCTCCTCTATAACAGAAACACACAGACAAGAATAGTATCTTTTCAAATCTCCCATAACAAATCACCTGTTGGAACTAACAAATGTTTCATTCAACCAGACCTAATGGTTCCTAAAAATGGTTTCTTCAAGATCCCAAATAGACTTAACCTCTTTTTGATTTTCCCTAGCTTTATAACATTATGAGAGTAATGGGGCTCACACTTTATAAATCTTGCTCTACGTTGCAAACTTTACTATCCTACCTTGATAATAGCTATAGGTTTGCTCAAAACAAATACTCCTATCTGGGGTATGGTGAAAATTCAGACACACACATTATCTGGGGTCGAGGACTCTAGTTTTATCCTCTGTTGCCTGGCTTGTTTTTCCAGTTATATCTGCTGTTTGAACAGAGTTCCTCTCTCCCTCCCTTCTGCCTCCTGTATGTCACCCTCCATTTGTCAGGACATGGTCACTGAGGCTCATGGGCACCTGGAAAACATACTTAGACCATCTTCATTCTTGTACTGGGCACTGGTGAAGATGCCTGCTAAACCTACAATTTCTCAAAGTGCATAATAATCTCTTTAATTAATTGTGGAAGACATTGCCATTTTTGTAAATATAGCACCATAAACGTTTAGATTTTATTGTTTTTAACTCTCACAAAGTTTCTGCCCATGAGCCTTCATGGGGAACTCACCTGTTCTCCATACTCCTTTTGGAGTGGTGACTCTTCTCAGGTGGTGACCTGGACCCAAGTCTGAAATAGGAGAGTGGGTCTCTGATGGGTGCCTTTCTTTCTTCTCTATACCTACAACCCCATGGAATCTGGTGTCCTCCTTCTCAGCAATTCCCTTGCCTCTTCTTCCCTCACTTATGTACTCAGCCTGTATAGAGTGAAGGCTCCAAGTCATGTGGAGTGGACAGGGAGTTAACCAATCTTAGATCATTTTTGTGAAGTGTGCGGGATTTGAAATCCTATTTCTGAGGGAGGCACAGGTTATCAACTTACTGCTTGGTGGAGAGATGGATATGTACATTCCCTCAAGAGTAGGAAAAGAAGAGCAATATAATTTCCCTTCTTGCCCAACATTCCTTCTCCCTTTTCCTGCTTTTACATATTTCCCTGTCCCTGCACCCCCATGGGCTAGACCTCTTGTGAGCCTTATGCATACTGAAAGAAGAAATTAAGTCATCTTTTTCAACGTTATAGCTAGGGTGATCACACACTGAACTTTAGAGTCAATTTTTCTGTTCTCCAAAGTACAATCTAACTTGTGAGAACTTGGCATAGCTTTTGATTCAGGAAATATTGTTACAAGAATGATGTTCTCAGGATTTCTGGGTGGCTCAGTTGGTTAAACGTCTGCCTTCTGCCCAGATCATGATCCTAGGGTCCTGGGATCAGGTCCAGCACCAGGCTCCTTGCTCAGCGGGGAGCCTGCTTCTCCCTCTGCCAGATGCTCCCTCTGCTTGTGCTCTGTCTCTCTCTCTCCCTCTCTCTGACAAATGATTAAATAAAATCTTAAAAAAAAAAAAATGATGTTCTCACACTGATGGAGCTCAACTTTCATCTATGAGCGTGGGTTTGAATTCCGTGCTTGTACCACTGGCTCTGTTAGCCTTCAATTACTGCACTTATTATGTGGAGTTATTTATGTCCATCAATTTAACCATATTGCTCAGTCCTGAAGGGGTAAAGGGTAAAATGGGCTGTGATCTTGCTAAGGAATAGTTTCAAGGACATTTAGATCACTTTCTCACTTTGGGGTATCTAAAACCAAGGCATAGAATAATAATGCTGGAACGGTTCAAATCCAGCGTCCTTCTTGGAAGCATTGTGTGTGGAGGCAGCCTTCCTACTTTTCTAGAATTCCCTGGAGGACATGAATGTGAGCAGCGAATCTTTTCCCCATCTCAGAAGGAAATCCATCAGTCAGGGATCTCTGGCCCTGGAGCCCCCAGTGAGTCAGGCCATTGTGCACAGTATATTGCCTTGTCTTCCAGCTTCTTGGAGCCTCTGTGAGTCCTACCTTTCTCTGGGAAGGGCGGAGATGACTGTGGCACAGGGAAACGACCCACCTTGAGCTCTGCTTCATCTCTGACCATGAGCAGCTCTAACTGGCTCCTGTGATTCAGGTTTTAGCAGAGACTAGATTAGGACCTATTTAGAGACCTCTTCAAGGCTGGCCTTTCCCTTCCCCAAGCATTAATTCTCCCCCTCCTGATAGGCCCCCCTGTCCCCATCTCTGGTTTCCTTTGAGACTAGAAACTAAAGCTTCAAGCATTAACCCCTAAGTTGCCTCTCTGTTCTGTATACACAAATGCAAAGGCTGAGGGATTGAGTGCATGGGCAAGAATGAGTGTTGTTGAGAATACACAATTGTGAGCTTATCTGTATGCATGTATTTTTTGTTAGTCCAGAGTATGTATATTTACAATTGAAAAGAAATTTTATACAATGTGAAGGTGTGTTGATATGTTTGTTGATGTATTTGAGAGATGTGTTAATAGACATGTGTGTAAGGATTGGATTTGAATGTGAATGATATGTTTGTATAATGTGTGTTTGTGCAGGTGTAAATAACCATTTCATTAAGTATACATGTTTATTGGGATAACTTGGCTCTCTGAGTACAAGGGCACTGCATACACATATATTCTGAAAGCATATGCTGAGCTCCAACGCTGATAGTGTGAAATTATACATCAAAATGTGTGGGTTTGAAGAGGTGTTGACAATCTGTTGGTGCTTTTGTATGTACCTAGGTAGCTCTGGTTCTGAGGCTCTCCCACTTCTTATCAGGAGAGGCGGGAGGACATCCAGATGGAGGTCTTGCCATAGTTCTTTTTGAAATTTGGTGAAGTGGGAAGGCCCTCCTCACTCAGCCTGAACAGTTAAGCTTATGCAGAGCCTCCTCTCACTCCCCATGTAGGGCCTTGCTGGTTTTCTCTTCCTTCTTTTTTCTCAGCATTCCCTGATGTATGATATGTCAAATGAAGATTTGAGAAAAAAAGTATTTAAAAACAGAAAGTAAGGATTTATTTGTAGAGTTCAGACTTCAGAAGCTATGCCTCACAAAATCCACAACCCAACATACATTTATAGGAAACAAATCACACAAAAAGTTTACAGTAATCTGTTTATGGTGAATTGCCATCATCACGTTCACAAAGGTCAGGATTTATTTTAAGATATAACCATAACAAAAATCTGGGAGAGAACTGTTTTTGTTAGGGAGTCCAGGTTTACAGGAAAGATTCAAGGTTTTATTATTTTGGGGATCAGACTGATATTGTAATTTTGGATTTATCTCTGGTTGCAATTTCTTTTTCTTTGTCTACTTCTTTTAGCTCTGGTAAGTTAAATATTTGGTATTAGGAAAGTGGGAAAAAGTGGAAAAAAGTGCCAGGCTTTCCTCCTCTCCCTCTTCTTCTTCCTCTTTCTCCTCCTTCTCCCCCTTCCCCTCTCGCCCCCATCTTCCCCTTCTTTCCTACTTCCCCCTCGCCTTCCTCTTCTTTTTGTCCTCCCCTTCTCCACCTCCTCTTCCTCCTAGTCATCATCATAGTTGTCTTCTTCTTCTTCTTCTTCTTTCTTCTTCTTCTTCTTCTTCTTTCTTCTTCTTCTTCTTCTTCCTCTTCTTCTTCTTTCTTCTTCCTCCTCCTCCTCCTCCTCCTTCTTCTTCTTCTTCTTTCTTCTTCTTCTTCTTCTTCTCTTTCTTCTTCTTTCTTCTTCTTCTTCTTCTCTTTCTTCTTCTTCTT